TTCTTCTAAATATTGTGAAACATTAATTATTTATTTGTGTGTGTTCGATCTTTGTAGGTATTAATAATTTTAACATATACTAGTGGAGTAATTTCATAAGAAATAATTGAATATCAATTCAATTCAAATTTAATTACACAGTTAATTGTAACATCTCTAGCCAGGGCTGGTAGCTGTATAGTTACCTAACTGAGTGACGAAATTCTTTCGTAGATTTCTCATAGATGACCCTACGGCTAAAAAGTCGTTGAAAACCAAATACAAAGATCCGACCACAAGCACATAGAAAAATTTGTGAGGTCCGCAGGTTCGTTCCATGGCTTAGCATCGGGCACGGTTTGCTAGAAGACGTCGTCGGTTGGAATTCGGCCGGATCGAGGGAATTTTTCTTAAGTTTTTCTTTGTATTAATAATTATAACAAACTAGTAGAGTAATTTTACAATAATTGTATATCAATTCTATACAAATTTAATATAAGTCTAGTTTCACTATGTCCAGCCAAATATCAGGCAAGTAAGCTTATTGAAGGTATATTATATTTACTCACATCCACTTCAACAGGCTAAACAAGAAACATTATTTTTGATCCGAAGATACGAACAACACATACAAAAATTCCTTCGGTCTGATTCTTAATAACTGAGTTAACAGCACCATAATTTTAACAAAAAATATATCACGATATTAAATACACCTTCTTCTTCCTGTCCTTATCCCACGCTAGGTGGGATCGGCACAACATGTATTTTTTTCCATTCCACTATCATCATCGCCATTTCTTCTTATCCATGTCATCTTTCACACAACCCATGCATCTTTTAATATCCCTCCGAATTCATATCTAACACTCTTCTCGTCACATGACATTCTTCCCTCCGTATGACATGGCCATACCACACTAATCTATTACTCCTCATCATTTCCATCCTGGCGCCACTTTCAAATTTCCCCTGATGTACTCATTCCTTTACTTGTCACTCCACACATCCATGTCAACATGTGCATTGCCGCTGCATGCACAGTTAGATCATTCTCCCTTTTCATCGCCCAACAATCTGATTCATACAGTAAAAACGATGGCGTTAAAAACGAGTACGATATTAAAAACACCATGATATTTAATATATAAGTGTAACATGTTTTATTTAATCATAAGGGCATGCAAATATGGATTTAATAAGGTAATCAACAATTTAATCGTGATAATAGTATTTAGATCAATTTTACGTACCTGCAGTAGACCTCCTTGTGAAATAGTTAGTAGGAAGTACTGCCACCTTACCTATTTTTGCCACCAAACAGTAAAAACAGTAAAGTCAGCATTACCGTGTTCCGGTTTTGAAGGGCAAGGGTGCTAGTGAAATTACAGGCACATGGGACTTGTCAACTTGTGTCTCAGGGTGACGGTGCATTGACAGTACCCCTTAGATCTTTGCGACTTAAAGCTCTGAATGGCACTGCAACTGTATGGACGTTATAAAAAACTTGATGTTACAAAAAACCTTCACGCTTTATTCTCATAGGGGTAGTCAGAGATAACACTTTTTCACTTGCTACGGGCCTGAACAGCAGATAAATTTTATTGATAATAATTGTAAAATATATATAGTTGTCAAAATATTAATAATTTAAATAACGTCAAATAAATAAACAGATTTTAATGACAAAAATTAGATAACAAAGTTACGGATTTTTCATCACATATTTTTGTTCCGTTTTTTTTTTCATTTGTCGCTTAAACTATAAACAGCCGCATGTCAAAAATTAACTTTACAGGACAACCTCCAAACTTTTCGACATCACGTTAAATTTGTTTTGTTTTTATATACCATGTATTTATACTCAAAAGATGCGCATTTTAAGGCTACATTAATTTGTAAACAAATTTGCGCTAATTTTTCATGAAAACCGTAAAACCACATAAGGCCCCTTAGCATATAAAATAATACGCAATATTGTGACAAATATATTAATAATATTAATAATAAGTCACACACTCATAGTTCCGCACTAGGAAAACCGTGAATCGCGGATGCCATGGACACATACGTAGACACAAGAGAAATAAATGTAGATCATATAAATATTTTTTTCGGACCGAGAATCGAACCCGGGGCCTCAGTGTAGTTACCACTTGGCCAATGAGGCTTGCTTATATTGAAATATTTAATAAAAATACCATTAATTATAGTTAAGAAGGTATTTATTTATTAACATTACTAAATTATAAAAGCTTCATGAGACTATCCAGTTTCAATCAGATATACTTCTAAACAGCAGAGAAATTGCTTACACGTTAAAGTTTTTCAATTAAGTACAACGTAAAACAAATATGGCATTTTTGTCTTACTCTTTTACACCCTTATTGCATATCTATCTTACAAATATGTAAAAGTTTATAGAATATGTATCATATGCATTGTACATACAAGTAACATAACAAAAATATACACACTTATCTATTGCACCAAAACATTAATTATGATTAAAAAATTCGGACTCTTCAGTAAACCCCATTTCTTTGTCTCTGAAATTTCAATCATTAGGTACATATGTTTTACTTGCCACCTCATCGCACAACACTGATTTAAACTCTTCTTCGTACGAAGTTTAAAAAATAAACACTTTTATTTATTCTTGCCAGTATTTATAGCATTTATGTTTGACGATTTCACCCATTTCGTTACTTATAGCCAGTGACTTTTAGTCAAAACAACAGTCATGCGTGAGTTTTTTTTGTAAACAATCTGCTCTTCCACTCGACAAATTGAAACTAAGATGTTGTTAGTCAGATTGTTTGTTATAGTAAACCATACAGTAAGTTTTTCGTTACTTGAAATTTCAAAAATCATTTCTCATGACACTCCTCTCTCCCGCCTTTTTTGTTCAGCTGTCGATTATTATTAATTTATATTCGTAATGTACGTACTTAAACTAAAAATTAATTCGTGTAAAAAACTGTAACTACAGAAACCTAGGGACTATCTTTAGCTACCGATCTACGGGTGCGCTTATTTTTTTTTTACTTTTTGCGCTACTTTGAATTTAGAGAGACCGATTATAGAACTTGTAGTTAATGTAAATGCAATGTAGGTTTTACAACGATGCCACAAAAACGTTTTGAGTTTCATAAATATTTGTTACTTTATTAAGCTGATGTCTCTATAGCCAATGCTCAACGAATAATTTATCTCATCGTCATATTTTTATTGAAACAATAAATTTTTAGTTTAAGTATTCCGCCCTCGGAACGAAAAAAGGCGCAACTATGCGTACTTTACACAGCAATTGTGCCTTTTTTCGATCCGAGGGCAGTATTATTGTAACGTGGTGAGCGGAGGGTAGATGATTTTTTTTTAATATATAATAGACACACGCTTGGCCACAATCTCACCTGATGTTAAGCGACGATGGGACAGACGATGAGACGCGTTTGCCTAAAAATGCCTATTCACTCTAGCCTTGATTGACACGCAGACTTCGTTCACAAGTCGACAAAAGGCAAAAATAAAAAGTTCATGCGACTAGGGACCCAACAATGTGTCTCACTGACGTGAAAGCACAAGGTTAAGTGCCGTAGCTAAGGTAGCAGTAAGTAAGGACAGGGACACGGAAAAATAATCGACACTTTTTGGTATAGAGTACTTTTGCCTCCGATATCGATACTTTTGTACTCGATATTTTTCAGGTATTAGTACTTTTTGATAAATAACGTATCCTTTCGAATAATTCCTACTTAAGACACCTCATATCATAACGCAAGCCACTTCGCAATTTTTCTTTTTAAATAGGAACCGTTATCACAAATTTCTTGGCTGCATATTGTATGCTACCATTTGCCTCTTCAAAAGAAGTTTATCCCTTTGTTTTCAAAACAGGCCATACAGTATCAAAAACGAGAAACAAAACGTCACTAAATAGATTTTTGTTTTTAAGTGATTGTACAAAGTGAGAAATTGCTTTCTCCGATGGCGCAGTCAAGGCCATCAGCGGCCAACTGCAAAATATCCTTCAAAAAAAAAAGTGAGAAATTGGAAATTTAAGTAACACAAATTATGTGAAATGACGATTGATTGAATTGATCAATTTATTGAATTAATCAAATTCTTTTACTGTTTGTTTCAATTCAAAATTGATTTGAAGAAGAAATTGATTGAAAGATTTATGATTCAATAAAAAAAGACAAATCATGTATTTTATTCTGCCTTTAAGTAGGGAAAATCAGCAGGACAAAAGTATCAATACCTCAAGGTGTCGATACATTTGTTACGATACTTTTATGAGTACGATACTTTTTATGCGATACTACTCATGAGTACAATATCGATACTTTGTCCTTATATAAGGACCGAACGTCTCAGTAACTTGAGAGCCTTTTATTCATTGAATTTCATTGACAATACAAAACATATGAGTCGACTTATACCATTAAAGTTAACAAAACGATGACGCGATTCAGAGTACAACTAACGTCATCTAGCGGTGGCACGACGGAACTAATTGCGTGTTAAAGTTATGGTTGTTATATTATTACATTTTGTGCTTCTATATTTGTTACTTGTTTAAGCTGATAGCTCTATAGCCAATGGTCAACAAATAAATAAATAATAAACATTTTTATTGAATTTTACTGGTACCACATTTGGTCCTATTCGCTGTAACTCTGTGCAAATAGGCTCATCTGTGTTCAAGTCGCTATGTGGGCTTGCTTGCACAAGTGATAGTGCCCTTCTCGTACACCTTTTTTTTTTTTTTTTTTAAGAGTCACTATAATGAAACTTATGTAGAAAAGAACGGGGATTTCGCCCTGTTTCTTCCGCAAATCTATTAAGAACATATTTTTTATATCATTAATTTGCATAAGCAGTGGCAAACGCAATCCGTCAATAGTACCGCCTGAATGTTTGCCGTTTTGAATATTATAATTAAAAAAAAAAAAATTTACAAAATCGATTTACAACTCGTCTTAAATCTAAATTGTTTTTCCGTTTTATTACAGGTATATCAGCATACTCACACTCTTGAAAACAATATCAACAGAAGAGCCAGAACTGGCGCCACCACCAGGTAACTCGATTCAAATTAGTGAATAGACTTACATTTATTTACCAAATTGAGTGTTGTGCAAGGTTGTTTTGTTAGCGCCCGATACTATATTTTGTTCTTAATTCGCAATAAAAAAGCTACCGTGACCGTTGCCATTACGATACGATCAAGATTAGTTAAAACAGCTGCTACTAATATAAAGGCGCGTCTTGGTGCTGTCTTTACATTGCTAAATTGTAATCAACTTAACGTGCAACTTAAACAATTACAGCTGACGGTGAAAATGTATCAATCGATGTAAGTACAACTTATTGTACACAATGAAAATTTTTTTCAGTTATAAGTTGATGAGGTCAGGGTTTTAATAGATTGTAGTTATTACTTTCTATTATATACTATATACACCAAAATTCGAAACGAATTATCCGTTATTTCAAAGACAGCCTCTATTTCACCTCAGTTTGTAAATAGACAATGTGGTTTATGCTGTATTTAAATTTCAATGTTAGTATCAAAGTCAAATTATAACGAAAACATCACTTTTTTTATTAAATTCCTGATTACTTTCAGTCACTAGGCGTTACGATCTAATGTTATTTTAAAATATATTATGCTATAATTAACTTTTTTTTGTAAATCTTTTTTTCTATCCCTTTTGAAGGCCATAACGATTAACGAGATCTTTGTTTATTTTACCCGTTGCGAAAACACTTTTAATCTTTTTTTATTTCTGATTTATTTAGAAGCCTTAAGTTTGAACCTTTTCAGGGCGAGAATAAATAGATATTATTTAGGTGTACATGCTACATCGTTGATCTCATCGTCACTTTCCATCAGGTGAGATAAAGGTCAAATGCGCACTTATTTTAAAAAACAAAGCTTATCTGTAATAAATAAAGTATGCAGTGTCTTGACACATGATACTTTATTTATTTCCAACCAGTCTGCAGTTGTAAGACTGGAATAATTCTCCGCTTTGCCTTACTACGGCTCATGTTCCGCATAGTATGAACCCTTCCAAAAAAGCAGAACGTACCAAAGTATATATATGCCTATGGTACAATAGTTTGGCAATGATATTCTTATTGATACGGTAGGTAAAAAAATATATTTCACGCAAGTAGGATAATGCAACTTAACTGAAAAGTATATTTTTGGTTAGTAGTTCTGACTGGAGCGTGGTCCTTTGAAGGAAGCACAGCGAATGGTCGGGGCGCTACTAATTCAGCAATTTGTTTGTTCCCACTTTGACAAATAGCGATAGATAAGAATTTCGTGTTAATGGAGTTGTTTATGTTTTAAAAATAGACACTGCTTTTTTCACGCCTTTGTGAGTAACGAACCTCATTTGTGAATTTTTTAGTATTGTTTACTTTTATTTAGCATTTTACTGGTGGGTATTATTTCTACGCATCAGTTTTTCTTTTTTCTTTTGTAGTATCAAATATTCCTTGTTTTTTAGAAATGTATTTTTTTTATTTGTATTTTTATTTTAACTCAATATATAAGTGCAATAATTACGTCAATTACTGTAACAATCTTTTTAAGTTTAAGACACTGTAGTAAACTTTAAATTTTATATTAATTTAAAACAAGCGTCAATGATATTTTTTATTTTGTTTCAGATGAATTCAACTTGCTAGGGGAGGCAAATTCAAAAAATTTAATCACTGTAGATGTTGACTATGTCATTGGAGAAAAAGAATTTGAAATAACTTTCAAAAGAGATGTTGCAATACCTGTGCACGAGCTAAAATTATATGATACAACTTTATCTAGTCCATTTTTGCTAAGAACCACATTTAAGTTAAGAGAAAAATTTTCTACAACGTGTATGTTTTCTGTAGTAGACAAAAGTACAACAGATTTTGAACTCTGTTTCACACCAATAGGGGATGATACGACTGACATAACAGTTAACAGCGATAAAATACCTGGTAAGAAGTTGAAAATATCGACTTTGGAGAATTTCACCTTATGGACGGAAATGTTAATACATTTTGAAGAAACTAAAGCCACGTTATACGTGAATTGTAAGGAATCGGGAAACGAAAACGGAGAAACTATTTATTATGAGGACGGATTAGTTTTCGAAGATATTCGGTTTACGGAAACCTCTGAGTTACATTTGAAACATTTTCAGGTAAGTTTAATTTTTCTTTTAACCACATGCCTATTACTGCACCTAGCTAAATTCAGTGCCGTGTTATTTCCACACTTCCCATTTCTTCCAACCAGATGTCGCTATAGTGAAGAAATTACTAATTAGTCTTACAGAAGTATAATTTCTTTTTATTTTTCGATATTTCGGAACGGTTACACCACAGTATAAACAAGAGCAAGTAGGGCAACTCCCGCCTGTTCGACGCGTCAATGCCTATACTTAGCTGGGGGCTTAGGGTTGACACATTATTTATTTAGTTGTACCGATAGGTTATAAAGATAACTTGAAACATTAAGGTGTTTATCATAGTTTTCTCGTCCTATTTTGAAATAACCTTTGTTAAATTCCGTACTTACGTATTGATAATTTTATACCCGGAGTGTGATTATGAAATAGAAATGAAAAAAACATAACTGGTTGATGAGTTTTCCATCTCAGTCACCCCGAACCATGGGACCTGTAAATGGCCCAAAACTTTGGTTTGTTTTGAAAAACCAAATACATACGCGATTTAGATCCGAAAACATAGTTCAATTTCCTATAGAAAAGAAATGTTGACTAATTCTGAATTTCATTGTACTAGTCCCTACCAGCTGTCCCATCTCAAATGTATTTTTTCTTTTACTCTACCCTACCACACCGTCACTGGTTAGGATAAGTGGAATTTCATTTCCACTTATAACCCGACCGTTTCTATTAATAAGTACAGTTTCGTGTAATTTTTTAAACACTGAGCGAATGATTCAATTTTGTAATTAATGGTGCGTGATAATTTATGCGCGTGATCGTCACCCATGCTATGCAACGCGAATGTGTCGCGAGTTTATGCTGATATGTGCGTCCGTACACGGCGCACAGCAGGCGTGCACACATAAAAGCCGCGCTGCTACGTTTGTATGGTGCTACACTATTGGTCACACGCTCCATAGAGGCTCGTGACAGTCAACCTGTGAATATATAAAAAGTGCGTATCTGCACCAAACCAAATTTCACAGGAGGGGGATTTAATGTTATCATTTTGTTATTTCAATGGCTACGACTATCATTTTTGCACAGTAAACATTAATTTATGTTGCCTACAGACTGATAACAATAGATTCACGTAAATCACGCTAATTTGGTTGCCACGACATTTACGCGGATTTGGTCAGGCAACTGAATTACCTAAATGGAGACTCGTAATCAAATGCTAGTTACGCGTAATTGCACTATCCCCGACGATATTATAATGGTCGTACGATAGTAAAAAACCTGTAACCAAAGGCAATAATTTTGTGACTAGCTACGAATATCTTAAAATATACATCAACTCTGACAAAATAGAAAGCTATTTAAAGCTTCTTAATTACACGGCAGCATATTTAAAATTGTTGTAACAAAGTTCGCAATCATTATATCCGAAATTAATTACAGAAAAGTTTGTTCAAGCGGTCGGTATCAAAAACAACGCAACGATAAACAATCAACATTATTCCATCCTCCCACGCAAGTAAAGATTTAAAAAAAAAGAATTTATCTCGACTATCATTATCGGATTACAATCAGGCCAGACGATAATCCTCGATCGTATATGTAAATGTAAAGACTTAAGTCCCTACAAAATTCTCGTCATTATTTACGCGCACCGTAAAAAAGTTATATCTTGGTAAGACATAAATATAGTCGCGAAATTAGCTGTCACTGTGCAGCTAAATTAGTGCGCAACGTGCACGCGTTTGGGAGGGGATTCCGCTAAACACGAGTAGATTAAATTTTACGGCACGAGCGAGCTTGTATTAATTTTCTAAAGCAACTTTGTTAACACAGATGCTTGGCATTGAAAAATGTTGTAACTTAAGACTTGAAACTTGAGATTTAACAGCATCAGGTTTTCAAATATTGGCATTGTCTTCGTTAGATTAAGAGGTCCCTAGTTCAATTCGCGGTACAACAAATTTATTAGAGAAAGAAATACTGCTAATTGGTTGTATTATCTCCTATCTAGCAAGAAATAAGCGGTAGCTGTCATAAGTCTTGTGTTATTTGCTTTGTTAAATAATACAAATGATTAAGAACGTCTATCTTACAAGGTAACACAATATTGCAGCCCACAAAGTGAATTCTTCTTGTGCATACACAGTTTTACGAGTACGTAAAGCGCTCTAGGAAAACAAAGATCCAATTTCCACGAAATCGTACACGCTTGAGTTGCACCACTTTGCTTCGCAGCAAGAACAACAGTATGAGGATTTTCGCGCTTCTACGTGTTACCTACCTTTTGTTTGTTCTTTTACATCTCTCTTGTACGTTTTGGTTTTATGCTATGAAAAGCTGCAGTTGGTTATTCAGAACGTTTTCTTAGACGCTTGTCGCTTTTTGTTGTAATTTGCCTTGTGTAGTTGCCTTCATTGTCTCTATTGTTTCTATCTTTAACGTTTCGTGTATACAATAATAATGTTTGATATTTTACACAAATTTGTAGATTTGTAAAGAAAACAGCGCATTTAGGAAAGCTATTGAGTAAAATAGATGTACGACGCTCAGTGTTTGGCTGGTGAACTTCAAGTTAAGTAAAAGCTATTTATTTTGCCATCATGGCACACAACTTAAAACGGAAACGCAGTTATGTCGGTAGTAATACCAACTTTAACACGTTCATTGCCGTGGTGGGTCAAAATGACCGGCATCTTATCTATCTATTGGGGCCGTCTGGGGTTAAAATGACCAGCACAGCGCGCTTAACTTTGTGATGCTCATTCACCCCGCAGGTGGCACTATAACATGTCCGGCGTGGCCCTGATGAACTGCTCTTGCCACTTGGTTTTTAGGATTTTTGATAGCATACAAATTTTCTAGACTAAGAGGAAAAACTACATATATTTCGAATCAAATAAATTTACTTTAATTTCAAATTTGTTTAAAAAATTACAAACTAAGCAATAAAAAGGTGAATGTGAAAAGTCAATCTCAAATGAAAGACGTACGTCAGTTTTATGTAAACATCGATCGAACATTATGTGTACACACTCTGCCCGGCATTGTGACCGGCGCGGCCTGAACATAATACTTATTGCGTATAGGCCGCGCCGGGTTAAAATGCCCGGCACTAAATATAATCCCAAACTAGAGCCAAATAATAAGATATCGCGAAAAAAATTATATACTGTAGAATAAAACGTATTTTGCTTGCGATGGTTTATTGCTCGATCCCGTGTACAATAGAAAATAAGAGCATACAAAAAGATTCCGCGCTTATTTATAACATTTCTTCCCGCCAAAACCGCTAAATTCCGCGTGAGGAATGGTTTTAGGCGGTATTGGCTATGACCAACAATAATACTAAAATGTAACAACAGATGACAGATTACAAGCAAAGGATATTGTTGCGATGTAGTCTATGGTATTAAGAAATAATAATTAGCATAGCAACACCGATGCCTCTGTCAAGTAAATTATCATCTGCAATTCAAATTACTCAACAATAACAACAACTAATTGATTGAATTTATATAAGGTGTTTACAAATTCTATTTAACAGTTAACAAAAGTGATACATTTCAATTGCCATTTCTTCGAATATGATACAACGTACAGTGTAATGTGCAGAATACGACCTGATCATGATTGCAACAATACGTGTACAAATGAGACCAGAAACAGTCATATAACCCAATGTCATATTTTGAACATTTTTGAAAATTCTAGTCGGCAACGAACGTGTTAATAATTTGTGTTGGGGCCGCCAACAACAGAAATCAAGTCTGAACATCGTTTCGGTGCGACAAATTTAATTATAATAATGTGCCAGACAACAACACCGATTGCCTAGTCTCAAACTAGGGATTTCCTTGTACTGTATAGAAAAATTCATTTCCCAAATTGGTCATACCGGGAATCAAACCCGGGACCTCCGCATCCTGCGCCCACAATGTAAACCGTTAAGCTACCTAAGTCGTCAACAAAATTATTTATACTGTTAATTAACGTAACTTGTAGTATATTTTAATATAACAAATTATTTGACATTCGAGTACCTACTATAATTCACTTCTATCAATTTCTAATAACTTAGGGGCTTCCGGGCACAGGTATTATATGCTTAAAAGGAGACTCCAGCCACTAGAAACTAGACTAAACTGTGCTACAAAAATAAAGGATTATTATTATTATAATTATGAAATAGGTCACATCTAGCTACATTATATAACTCTAGAGTATTTTATTTCTTTTATAATAAATGAAAAGTTAAATATTCTGTTTGTCAGTAGTTACTAGTTGAGTATTGCAAAAATATTAACCGTTGGCGAACTATTTTCAACAGTACATTGTTTCCACTTACCCCGTTAATAGGTCGTCTTGCAAGCTTGAAATGAAGGAAGTAGTTCGAGCTTTTGAAAAATTAAACCAATTTTATAACGATTTTAACCAAGCTCCATGGATCATTCAAAGGCAAATTCGTATTATAGTATGAATCTTTTAAACTAACGTCGTCACAAAATGCTTTATAAAAATCATAATGGAAATGAAAATATTTTTCCGAATGTAAATAGCGTATATTTGTTTTCCAAACAAGGCAACGTTTCAGGCCCTTTACAGATCCTATGGCCGCGGCTGGCTGAGATGGTAGCTATTGGTCATCAACCAGTATGTGTCTAATATTAATGTAAATCTGTCCCAAAACAGTAATGTAAATTAAGAATGCAAGGTTTTTATTAAGAATTTAAGGTATAGAATGCCAGAACCGTAATCGTGTAAACTTAAGTATACTTAGGTGCTTTGAATTCAAATTCCAAGCCTGTGCGCAAATATTAATGGAATTTACATTCTTCTTTAGAGATAATTGCATTTGAAATCCACTTCTATTTAAATTGGTATTTGAAAAGTCTGACTATGACTGTGGCGTGATTATGGGATCTGTAAAGAACCCCGAAACCTTACCGTTTCGGGTTCTTCACGTAAACGTTTTAAAACTATTTAAAAAAAACGTATAAATAAATATA